GGAAGCCAACTTAAGAAAAGAGTTGCTTAATGAACAAGAACTGGTGGTCTCAAGCTATACTCTCTCAATGTACCTTTCTTCACTGTAAGAATACATTGCCAAGTGATTGAAATGCTCGTGTTAGCTGGACAGAACACTTACTCTTTTGGATTAAGTGAGATAATAAATATAAAGCACTTAGTACAATACCTGATACATAGAAAGCATTCAGTTAATGTAAGCTATCATTATTACGATGCTATAAATATTCTGACAATATAGCACAGTGGGCTGGCAGCATGGGCTTTTGACTCACATCCTTGCTTCATCACTCATTACCTATGTGCCAATGGGAAAGTTACTTAACCTCTCAAGTCTCAATTCTCCTAACTGTAAAATGGCTGTCATAATTGGAACTTTACAGGGTTACCCTTAAAATTACTTATGATGTTCTATGAAAATGACCTAACTACTCATCGTAAGCACTGAATGCTCCTGATTAATATTTAAAATAACATACATTTACATGGCACTTTTTATATGCCAGACACTGCTTTAAAACTCCTTTAGTCATTCATTTATTAATTCATTTAGTATTACTATAACCCTATAGGCAAACATAGTTGAGGAATCTGTTGCTGGTAGACTCAGCAATATCAGATATTCAGCAATATCTGCTCTCCTTCCTTGAGGAAGTATACATTTGAAGTCAGATTTGACCATTTGACCAGTCATATGTGAGTGGAATGGACATGTGACACTACTTGGCAGAAATATTTAAAACCAATTGTGCTTTCCTACCTCTGGGATTATAGAAGTGTTTGTTGAGATAGAGCCCCCATTAGCCTGAGTTCCTAAGTAACGTTTGCTGACCCATGATAGACATACAGTGAGAAGAGAAATAGGCTATTGTTTTAAGGCATTGAGATTTTCAATTTTCTTTTTTGTACCACAGCACAACCTATCATATCCCAATTGATTCAGAAGCATAGAGACAAAAGGAAATTTTCCCAAGGCCACAGAGCTAGAAAGTATCTGGCTCCAGAGTCTGTGCTCTTGACCACTTTGCTTTATGTTTCTTAATAATTGATAGTAATATCAATATGAAGAATAGTTTATTAATGCATTGTTGTCATAGGGGGTCTTTTTCTAGACTTCATAAAGAGCTGTTCTTTTCTGAATGAGTTGGCTCAGGAGGAAACCTAACCTTTCTCCCAATTCTACTGCAACGAGAGCCAACAGCAGCTGCCAGAAACACTGCTGGAGTTCTCAATGGACAACGTGGAGAACATTGGACATGTTCCTTCTTTATATGACCCCAGAGCAGCCCCCAGAGGCACGGTCGCCGTGGCTGCCTCTGTGCTTCCCAAAGAAAATGAAAATGTTGTCAAGATAAAAGCAGAAGGAGCAAAGCCTTAAGCAGTGATAAAAAGCCAAAAAATTAGGGGGAAAAAAAATTAGTCATATCTACTGGACATAATTCCATAAAAAAAGACCCAGTTTTATGGCACACACTGAAATGCATTAAATTATAAATTCTCTTCAATATTATTTTTATATACCTCTACTTGACACTTCCAGACTGCTAAAATTTATTTTTTTCATCAAACTTTTAAAAATAAAAGATAATGGGATTTAGTTCCTTAAAATAGTCAACAGGCTAAGTTAGAAAAATATATATTGGGAAAACTTGCCAAAACATTACTCTTTTGTCCTTTTGAATTTCAGTTTTATAGGTGTGACAATCCTACAATGAAGTTCTTTTTGTACTTAAAGAGTTAGATCACTCTGAATGGAGTCCAAGACTTTAAATGAATTCCACTTCATAGCATAGTGCTTTATCAGTGATATAGTTTAAGTTTATATCTCTCTTCCAAGAGAAGATCTTAGAATTCTCATGAGTGAAACACTTCAAAAATTAATGACCAGTGACTACAATAAGGTGAGCTATGCAAGTGAAGTTGTATCTTTTTTGGGAAGACTTAAAGAACAGAAAAAAATTCTCACTGTAAGATTTTAATGTTATGTTAATAACCGAAAGTCATTTCTGAAGAACATCATGGAGAAAGACAGATGAAAGGAACTGTCGATACATGAGGGTGGGGTGAGATGGTTATTTGGTCTTATGATTATCTGGAAAAGATCCTGAAGACAGAGTCATGGGACATGGATCATCATAGCAACCCAAATGAACATGGTGGCTAATTTAAGGAGATCAATTCTGTGTTCAATAGTGAAAACAAAGAAAAAGAGAATAAAAGGAAAAATATAGTTGGATATTGGCAAAAGTGTGGGGAAACGCAAAAGATCTGCTAAGCAAGTCCCTACTCTGGACCTGTATATGGTGCTAAAATATAAATTAAATATATATGTATGGGAGCTTCTAGGACCATCTTGATTGTAGCCTCTTTGCTAGATTCTAAGTCCTGATCTCTGGTTTGCAAAATCTAGATACTTTAATTATAATTCATATTCATTATATTATTCATTTTCATCTCTGAAAAGTTTTCTCAAGCTTCCCTGTCATTTGTTAATATCAGATCAATGCAATACTGAATTGCAGAAAACATAAAAAATTTATTTTTCAGTCTCAGCTCAATTTACTTTAAAGCCAATGCCCCTTTCCACTAACCACTTTATGCTGGCAACCCACCATTTACCTGAAGGCACGTTTCTCTTTTTTTCCAACTCCTCCCTTACCTGTTAGAAATTACATTGAAATTAAATATTTTTAGCTACATAAGCCCACATATTCAACCAACATTGGTTTAATCTCTAGTCCCCCTAGATAGTGGGGTGCACTTGTATAAATTAGTGTATAAGTAAACCTTTTCAGTAGGCAATGCAGAATTTTATAGGTGATCCCTGCCATGTCTTACTAATTTGGTGATTCTATCTTACCAGCATGGTTATTACTAACTCAACCAGCTGTGACCAATGTAAACTGGCCCTAGTAAACTTAAGAGAAGGGACATTTATTAGAAGACTTTAAGGAGCTCTGCAAATCAATAGGAAAGCCGGAGAACAAAGCAAGAATGAAGACCTCCAAATCCAAGATTTAAGAAATAAAGGAAGAGTCATAGACAGCAGGATTTTGTCAGAGGCACCACTGGAATTAAGAGTCTCCAGTAGAGTCCAGTCTTTTTGTCTCTCATCTAAAATTTCAAATTTCAAAGAGGTCGTTTGTCCAGAACATGGAAAAGGGCACCCTGGTTAACAAGCCCACCCAATAGTGACTTAGATCTTTCGTATGTATTATCTCATTTAATTCTCACTAAACCCTAGGCGTGGATATTATTATCACCCTCAGAGAGATTATAGAACTTGGCAAAAGCCTCACAGCTATCAGGCATTCTGCACACAGAGCCACAGAGCCTGCATCCTCACCCCTGCTCTAGGCTGCCTGGACTTAGTCATGTGGATTAAGTTTTACAGGAGCAGGACAGGGTAATGGTCAGAAGCAGAGGCATGAGTTAAAATCTCAGCTCTGCCATTTTACTAGCTGAAGGCAAGACATTTAAACCTCACTAGGCCTCAATTTCCTCATCTGTGAGATGGGAGAGTCTTATCAGGGTCAACGTAAGTTGTTGCAAGATCACAAAATTGTTGCAAAGAGAAATGGGAAAATGTATGTAAACTACTTAACCATGAGTGCTTGTCACATATTAAGTGCTGAATATTCAACGGCCTTTATTAGTTATATGTTGGTCTCCCTTTGTAGACTAGCCCTGGAGGCCCAGATATTACTCCTTTGATATTTGGATCCTAGCACCTTTCTCAGTGATTAGCACGTTAATAAGCCCATGTAAATATCTCCTAAACAGAAAGCATGTATTTGTATTAGGGTTCGCACTGCCACACTGTACTCTAGTATTATAATAAGCTCCTCTTTATATTAATGCAATAGCTCTACCCTGCACATTAAGCCAATGATGCCTATCTTTCCCAACCCCGCTCCCTGCCCCCAGATTGTTAACTCATGAGGTCAGGGTCTGTATCTCTTTTGTAGGTCCGCAATGAATCCCCAATGCCTAGTACAGAGCCCAGGCCATAGTAGGGCTTAACAAATATCTGTGGATTGAATTTTTATTAATATTTGTGATATGTCTTACAGTTCACCTAGCACTTCCACATAAATGTGCAGCATGTCTCTGCAGAGCAGCTTAAAGACACAGGCTCTGGAGCAGACCACCTGGGTTCAAACTCCAGCTCCACCGTTTACTAGCTGGGTGACCTTGGGTAAAGTTTTCAATGCCTCAGTTTTCTCACCTGTAAAATGAGAATAACAGTATTGGGTTGTCATGAGTATTAAAATGTTAATTGGAATAAACTTTATAAAACAGCACCTGGCAAGGAATATGTGTTCTTTAAATGTCAGCGATTATTAATTTTGTTTGTAGCTGTTTTTCTCCCGTCACACTGTGAAGAACAAATTGCTCCAACTGCCTAAATCGTTTCTCTTTCATGTATAAAAATATGAAAAGTGGTATATTTACCTAAAATCCTAAAATTAATTTTCAGTAGAGCAAATCATAATCTCTAGAAATTGACTTCCAAAGTTATTTGTAAAAGTAAATGTATTTATAGAGACTTTTCTTATAATAAAATAATCCTACATGGATCCAGATATTCTGTAGTTTAAGGCTCTCTCAGATTACTTGTGTTAGATATTTCTTGCACAACACTTGACATTATTCTTTCCACAAACAAGAACAGCCATACTGACTTGAACAGCAGTGTTCATGTGGGTAAAAACACACACGCACAAACACCAGGCAATGGATAGGAATTAGGTGTACTGTCCTCTGCCTCTATCACAAACTTCATTGTCCTGTTATGGCAAAAAGTGTGTCAGCTTCCCCAGTATGCATGTCCCCATTACTCAGAGCATCAATCAGGTGAGTAGGCCATACATTACTTGAAAATTCAAATCACCGTATTTAACCATTGATGCTTCGCTATATGCTGGAGAGATGAGTGGAAAAATAAAGGCGAAAGGGGCACCTGAGAATTTCACTTACCTTCAATACTGTAATATTCCAAGCAAAGCTTTCAGTTGCCTTATTGAGTTTTCTTCCTTTCAAGCCTTCTTTTGCCCCTAGATTATGAAGTTCCTCATGGAACTCCATCCCTTTGAAAAGAGAACAATTCTTAGTATAAACTGAAGAAAAATAGACATTTTTATGAAAATGTTATCAGTAAAAATATAATTTCCCATTCCTGTCCTCTTATAATTTCTAAATCCCAAAACTGCATTATCCTTCCCCTTCTGTTCATCCCCACCAAATAGTTATCTTTAGGGGAAAACTAACAATAATCTATGCATTAGACCAAATTATATTTTAAACAGCCAGGAGCCAGAGACAAAGACATGAGAAGGTAAGAAGCAAATTCTTCCAACAAGTTATATCTATCTTGCTTGTTCTCTGCCTGTTTTTTACATGAAATAGTGTAATGTGTAAATGGCAACCGTATGGGATGGATGCACATATCTTACTCTTTTCCTGTGAACCATCCATATGGCTTGATAATAGGCTCTGGAGCCCACATAGATAACAATGGTAATTAGTAAGTATTGAGTAAAAATAAAAAGATTTTTCAAAAATAGCACTCTTGGAAACACCCAACTGTTTCAGATTTTGGAATGGCCTTGATGTTATTTTTAGCTCAACCATTCTCTCAAGCTAGAATAACATAAAAAAACATCACCATGATCTGCTTCTTCAGCCTTTGTCTTAGCACATCAGGGATGGGAATTACTCTTTCTTC